TATTATTTGTGTGGGTGTGTGATAAGAATACTTAACACAAGACCTACCCTCTTAGCAAAATTTTAAGTATACAATATAGTATTATAAACTATAAGCTCTATACTGTACAGTAGATCCCTAGGACTTATTCATCTCAAGTAACTGAACTTTGTACCCTTTGACCATCACCTCCCCACTTCCCCCATTCCCCAGCCCCTGGCAACTACCATTCTACTCTCTGCTTCTATAAGTTCGATTTTTTTTAGATACCACATAAAGTGAGATCATTGCAGTATTTTTCTTTCTGTCTGACTTATTTCACTCAGCATAACATCCTCCAGGTTCATCCATGTCGTTGCACATGGCAGAACATCCTTCTTTTTTAAGGCGGTCTAATGTTGAATTACATGTATCTACTCCATCTTCTTTATCCATCCATCCATCAATGGACACTTAGGTTGCTTCCACGTCTTGTCTATTGTGAATGAAGCTACAGTGAACATGGGAATACAGATATTTCTTCAAGATCCTGATTCCAATTCCTCTGGATATATATCCAGAAGTGGGACTGCTGATCATATAGTAGTTCTATTTTTAATTTTGGGGGGGAACTTCTATACTGTTTTCTGCAGCGACTGTATTGGTTTACATCGCCACCAACAGTATACAGCTGTTCCCTTTTCTCCATATCCTTGCCAACACTTGTTCTCTTTTGTTTTTCTGATAACAGCCATCCTGACAGGTGTGAGGTGATATCAAATTGTGGTTTTGACTTGCATTTCTCTGATGATTAGTGATGTTGAGCACCTTTTCATGTACCCGTTGGCTATTTGTATGTCTTCTTTGGAGAAATGTCTATTCAGTTCCTTTGCCCATTTTTTAATCTGGTTATTTGGGTTTATTTGGTATTGAGTTGTAGGAATTCCCTATATATTTTGGATATTAACCCTTTGTCAGATATATGGTTTGCAAATATGTTCTCCCATTCTGTAGATTGCCTTTCGTTTTGATGATTTTGTTCCCTTTGCTCTGCAGAAGCTTATTAGTTTGATGTCGTCCCACTTGTATATTTTTGCTTTTATTGCCTGTGCTTTTGGTGTCATGACCAAGAAATCATTGCCAAGACCAATGTCAAGGAGCTTTTTCCCTGTTTTCTTCCAGAAGTTTTACAGTTTCAGTCTTACATTTAAGTGATTATTCCATTTTGAGTTAATTTTTGTGTATGGTGTAAGATAGGGGTCCACTTCATTCTTCTGCATGTAGATACCCAGTTTCCCCAGCACCATTTATTGAAGTGACTATCCTTTTCCCATTGTGTATTCTTGGCACTGTTGTTGAAGATCAGTTGACCAGAGACTTTGAGACCGAAGAGAAATGTAAAGAATCTGAGTAATGTTGTTTTTAAGATATAGGAGAGTTAAAAAGAAAAGCAATATTTCTTAACTAAAATGTGACTTTTCAATATTTCTCATCAAGTTAATTGACAACATATTATAAGACACTGGACTATGTCATCCATGTTGCTAAAAGTTCACGTATTGAAATTGGCCATCAATCTTTCTGTGGGATTTTCTCTTAGGAAAATAGCAGCTCTCCTTAAATGCAGGGTGGCCCTCTACTTGGGTGTGCACAGTACTTCAGAGTTATCAGGAAACACTAGTACTATTTTATAACCTCTAGAGATTTTACACGTCATTGCGTTGTAGATACACCTAGTTTTCTAAGCCAAGCTGTCCTGTTGGCATTTGGGGCATTAAAATCCCAAACACACCCTGACCCAGAAGGTCTGTATGTTCCAGGTTTGGATTCTCAAGCAGTGATCCAGCATTTTTTTTCTCTTCCAAGATGCTTTCATACTTGTTTAAATACTGTTCATGTTCCCTTACTTGATTTCTTGTCGTAATTTTAGCCCCTTTATTTGATATTCATATATCAGGCTTCCCTTTGCTTTACCATTACATTCCCAGTGTTTTAGATCCCTGTGGAAGCCAGCCTTTTTCTCTGCTTCCCTTTCTCTCTCTTCCTCCCTTCTACGTGCCCCAGGCCAACCCTCATCCAATACTGCCCCTGAGCTGTTTGCGAGCTCACGTGTCTAAAACTGCTCAGAAATGTCTCTTGATAGCTCCCTATTAAGGAAAACAAATTTATCAATTAACACATTTGAACTGCAGCACGATATATATATTTTTTAAGTGGCCACATTTCCCAGGAGAGAAGTTTCTTGATAATAGTAAGAGTGACAGAATCTATGTAGCATCAAATCACATCACGGTCAATGGCAGGGTGGTATCAACCCTGCGTGCCCAGTTGGGAGAGGTTAGCATCCACTAGAAACCGCTGGTATTCCCTTTTCCTGGTCTTCTGAGGGGGGAAAGAGGGAAGAAGGGCGCATTTTGTCAGCCCTTCAGTGGGCAACAGCAGCACTGTGCCCGTATCCACCTGAATCTGGGATCCTTTGGGGTGTGCTGGCAAATGTCACGGCTCTTGCCCTGTTCCCCATGGTGCACCCCAGGGTGCAGTGAGGGCCCACTCACCTGCCTGTCTCCCCACTCAGCAGGGGGGGACCAGCACGGACCAGGCCTTGTTCTGCTCTCTGTCCACAAGGCCCATGCAGGCCCAGCTGATATGCAGCCTTGATGAACATCGGAGCACTGGAGGGAACAGGCGGGACTTCACCCTCCGGTGGCCCTGCCCTTGATAGCTCTGTGGCACCAAGCAACATATTTCACCTTTTAAGTCCTAGTTTTCTTGTCAATAAAATGGGATAATGAGACCTCCCTCGAAGGATTCATTATACTACATTAAAGACCGTTTGTATTCCTTTGCTTTATTTCTTGTCATAATTTTAGTCCTTTATTTGATACTCATGTATCAGGTGTTCTCTTTGCTTTGCCATTCCAGTTGCAGAGGTGAATGTAGGATTACCACATTACCTGGTAAGATTCAGCTTGTGGCCCCCCCTCTAAGAGGTTTTCCTGACCAGCCTGCCTAAAACATCAGCCCCTGGACCGCCTTACTCTGCAGATCCTTCATAGCGCTCCCCACTTCTGGGCTTGAGAGGAACATTTTCTGTTTCTCCTTGCAATTTTCAGGCAAGCAAGAGTTTTGTCCCTATTGGTCACCACTGTATTCCCAGAGCCTGGCAGATAGTAAGTCCTGGATAGATGTGTATGTGTGATTGAAGTCTGCAACACAATTCAAGGATAGAAGGACGCATGGATGGATGCATGGATGGGTTGATGGATGGAGGGAGGGAGGGAGGGAAGGAAGAAGAGATGGAGAAACAAAGACAGGCAAGCAGTAAGTACAGGGTCTGTGCAAATACACACCATTGAGTTGTTGGTATGCTAGACGCCAGTTTTTCCAAACCACTTTGATCAATTGAATCCAAGTACTTTGAGCAAAGTACCATCAAACAGGATTAATTTAAGTACAAAGTGCAGGCTCAATCCAAGACTCACCCTCCCCATGCCTCCCCCCTCCAGTTGGTAGATGAAAAAGAATAAGAGGGCAGAATGTGGAAGAAATGGGTCTATAACAGGCAGAAGCTGAGTTTGTCAGTGATGTAATTCGCACTGTGAGCAAGGATGTGAATCTGGGGCGCAATAAAGGAATGTGATGCTAAACAGCCAGAGACCTCATCTCGCTGGAGGATTGTGTCCAGTTTGGGGTAATATCCTTAAAAAGGAGTTTGGGAGACCTCTCTTAAATGGTTTAAAAAAAACAGAGAATGGGAAAACGAGAGATCCAAGACTAGGGTTGCTTAGTGCAAAGGCCAATGGCTGAACCCATTACTGATCTCAACTGTTGCAAGGGTTTTGTGTGGTTCGATTTGTCTGGTTTTGTTATTTTTTTGTTTTTTTTTTTTTTAATGAGATGCTGATCATGTCTGCTCATAGCTGATGAAGAGGAATCAGGTACAGGTTGAAGAAAGATGGACATTTTTAGTAATAAAAACATCTTTTGTTCCCTGGGCGGAGGGGAGCCTTGCCATCATTGGATTGGTGTCTTAAATAAGTCAACAGTCACTTGGAAGGCAAATGGAGCCTCCCCAGAGTTGGAAGCGGAGAAGGGCAGGGGCAGAGCTGGGTTCTGGGAAGCTGGCATCCTAGTGGTTGGAAGGCATCTGAGAGGAAGCACCCAGCCAGGCCCCCAGTGTGGGAGAGAAGGCAGGCCAAGATCACACCACAGGCATAGTTTATTCTGAAGGATGTGGAACACTTTCTTGAATTTCTCATAATCTTCAACAGATATCACTATGCATAGGATTTGGGAGCCCTCCAAAGCTTTGGCAACACAAACCCCAATTATATGTTCTCTCTTCCCCTGGCCGGAAGGTGTGCTAAAAATGTCCATTTCCTGAGCTCTCTGGCTCCCACATCCCTCTCTACCAGGCACTGTCGTGCTGTACAAAATGACGATCATGTTTTATGCCTCTGTGGCCTCTGAGAGTCATCTCTGCCTTGCAAACATAGGTGTTAATTGAAGCCAGTGCTTGCTCTTATAGGGAGCTTTATGGGACTCAAAATGTTGTATAAGATCCCGGCGTTGCTCGTTTGTTCCCTCTCTCTCTCTCATTGCTTCCCCGAATTAGTCATCATTCCTCTTCGGAGCCTGCTTTAGCTTGCATTTCTCACCGGAATTGTGTGGGATGTTGTTAGAGAGAGCAAGCTTCCCCCTTTCTCTGCAGCCAGCCAGCCACCTCCTCTCTGTGCTGGATCAGGTCTGGCCCCACAGCCAGGCCTCATCTCCTGAGAGGCTGCACATGCCACGGGCCTGGACAGCAGCCCTGAAGAAGAGTGAGCTATGAAATGCGCGCTTTGCCGCCCGTGAGCTGAGCCGAGAGAGGATGCTAGCTGTTGACACTCTGAGCTTCCGCTGGCCAGCTCCTCTCATGAGTCAGCCGAGATTTCTCTGGACGCAGAACACACTTCCCCTTAACCTGAAAGCCCAGTGCTGTTCAAAGAAAAGTATTAAAAACACTCGCAGGAGGTGACAGTGCTGCTCTGCTTCTGTTTCAGGTGCTAAACCTGCCCCTGGGATCTGCTTTGAGAGAGTCAACTCTGCAGGTGACCCTTATGGCAACTGTGGCAAAGACTCCAAGACTTCCTTTGCCAAATGCGAGATGAGGTATGGGATCTGCATCCTGACCACGCCATGGCTTTGAACTTCCCACGCTGCTTAGGGCTGGTTCCAAACTTCCCCTCTTTGGGGACTGTTTGTTCTTGCTCTTCCAGAGATGCCAAATGTGGAAAAATCCAGTGTCAGGGAGGTGCCAGCCGGCCAGTCATCGGTACCAATGCAGTTTCCATAGAAACAAATATCCCACTGCAGGAAGGAGGCCGGATCCTGTGCCGTGGGACCCACGTGTACTTGGGCGATGACATGCCGGACCCAGGGCTTGTGCTTGCCGGCACAAAATGTGCAGATGGAAAAGTAAGACCCAAATGCTCACTTGCATCATTAATGTAAGTCTGGAAGGGGGCCCATTGAGAGACGTCCTGTCCAAGAACTGAGTTACAAGGTTTGTTTGTTTTCCTAAATCCACGTCCCAGAACTTTGTCTCTGGAATCCAATTCTTTGCACCTAGAAGAAAAAGTCAATAAATCCTAAGTCCTGGTCTGACCATTGAGATGCAGATTTGGGAAAATCAAGCTTGTTTTTTCGGCCCTTTAGTGTTAATAAGTCATTTCTACACTCTGGGTGTCATGAGGGTTTCCAGCCAGGAAATTACTTTGGAAAGAAACGCAGTAGCGTATGATATTGTTTTTGGAAATGTGGCCTTGGTTTCTGGCACGGCGGGGGCTTGTTCCCACCTGGACAGAATGGGAAGTCAGATGTATTTTCAGAGACCCCCATAGAGAGAATAGGAGGGGGGAAGAGAGAGGGTAAGCTTAAAGCCAGAAGGGAGTTCTTTTGGACACCAGAGGGAAAGGTAGACTGAGATGTTTTGGGTTTAGAAACAAAGTCAAAAATGAAAAAAAAAAAAAAAGAAATTAAGGTTTTTACATTCTGCCACATTGATTTTTGTCACCAAACTTTCTCATCAGACTAAAATGATTGCAAGTTAATAAAATGTTTTAGGAAAAAAGGTGAATCAACTCCCACATGCTTTTTGTAGGACCCCATTTTCAAAATGATTACGAAATCACTCACTAACACGGAGGTCAGAGAGCGGAAAAGAAAGAGACAGCCTCAGCTCCTTTAGCAGAGTCCCAGGCAGGAATTCCTTCCACTCAGCCCCTCTCCTCCACACACCCTGAGCCACAAATGCTTTATCCTGCAGGAGGTAGGATGATCCGTGAAACGTGTTATACATTCTGAGCGTCTCCTTAGCCACACACATTAGCTTATATTCAGGCCTTGACGTTAGAATGACACCCATTTTCTAAACTGTAGTCTGAACAGCCAGAGCCAGGTGCATCTGAACACTGAGATTCCAAGGACTAAATTTATCAATGAGTTTTTCCTCCATGTGCGAGATTAAATGTGCCTTGATCTCCATTTCTGCACGACACTCGCTCTTTGAAAGCCGTCTTGAGCCTTGCCCATGGATTGGGGGGAGGTGCAGCACCTACACACTGATTCTGACCGGGGTCCTGCTGTGTTAATTGCAATCCCAGACAATTTCTTTTATCAGCTGGAATGGGACAGTCCCCTCGGCCAAGATTCCCACCGGCCCTCAGAGCTGCTTGGGCAGCACTTTTGTCAAAGGGCATTCGTCTTGCCTTACACAAGCTGTGGGGGTCGGCTGGTGAACTTCCCATAGGATGGTTCTACTTGATGAAAAATGCTTCTGCAGTCTAAAAATTAGACTTTTCTTCCTTTGACTCCACTAATTTGTAATATCTTATGGGAGATAAAGGGCCTGATCCCTTGGGTCTGGAGTATGTTATGCACCTTTGAAATGAGATGACCCTCTTTCAACCAGCCCAGTATCATTTAGCAAATTATGGCCCCTGCAAAGGATTGATAAATACAAGGGAACCATCGTTTTCCTCTGCTGAGCATTTCTGTTGATGCTTTATGTCATCGATGATAGTACTTGTCAGTCAGTATTTTGGAAAATTTCCCCTATATCCATAGCTCCCTTAAAAGATTCTTGGACCCTGGATTCTTGGAGTCTCTGAGTCTGTACAGGCCCCAGGTTAAGGACTAGTCCATTTCACCCTCTCTTGTATCTTTTAATGGAGGGGAAATATGCTGCCATACGTAGAGTTCATTGCAAGCTCTAAACAAAAATCACGAGAAAATCCGTTATTATCATTTCAGGATCGACTGAAACTATGTAAAATGACATAAAGGATAATAGAGTTCAGTAGTGTTCACATTGTTGTGAGTCTTGAAATGTGCTGAGTTTGGAGTCAGGCATCGGGATCCATGTCTGAGTCAAATGAAAAATACATCATTCTGCTGCATCCATATTTACCTAAAGAAGATAGTCTTCCTCAAGCTTTCCTTTGTTTCTCTTTTTAAATATGCAGATATATGCATGTGTATCTGGTTATAGAAGTCCTGAGATATTTGCTGTTTTCCTCCTACAGATCTGCCTCAATCGTCGATGTCAGAACGTCAGCATCTTCGGAGTTCATGAGTGTGCACTGCAGTGTCACAGCAGAGGGGTGAGCAGACGGAACCGCCTTTTCATAGCTGTTCCATAACAAGATAAGCACTCACTCATTCATTTGTAAAGGATTTTACAATCTATAACTTTTAAAACATATAGCAGTCAGTGTCTCCTCAATATTTTCTTCTAAAGATATTAATTTTCTTTGACCTTTACATAGCATAAGAAATTTGATTTTTATTTAACAAAGAAAATCAGATTGAGCAGTAATTATCTTTTAAATTAACATTCTGTGATTTTGAAAAAAGGACTTTGTCATCTTCAAAGTAATTTTAAAACTAACCTTCCTTCATGAAGAGTTTTGCATTAACATTTCAAACAGAGCTGTCCCTCCTACAACCAAGATTCAGAATATGTGACTGAACTGGAATACTTCCAAGAGGAATTAAAACAGAGAAGACAGGACATACTGACCACATGTTCTTGAAATCACATACAATGGATTTCGACTGAAGAAGGCTGTTATTTTAGTTCAGAGAATTTTTAGGGCAGAAGAGGACTCAAATTGTTTAAAACATAATTTATTTTTCCTGATGGGCTTAATTATTTCCAGTGGAATCATATTAATCTTGATTAGCCATGCCAGTGGTCCGTTTGTTTTTCTGAAAACTTTTCTACAGAAATCATGCTCCAATTTCTATTGTTAAAACTTGCAGACACTCACCAATGATTCTAACATAGAATTGTGGGAGTTTTCGTAAAAATCTATCATGCTGTAATCATAAAGGACTGCGGTGCCACCTCAGAGGGTTTGTTGACTGCGAATGTAGCTGACTGTCAACATAAAAGGGAATCTTTTTATGTCTTCATTGGATCATAGATTTCTTTCTAATGACTGTGAGAGACGATCCAGTGCAGCCTTATTATTTTACCAACGCAGAAGCCCAGGCCGAAGAGGGGGAGTGCCGTGTCCAAGGTCACATGACCAATTGGTAGCAATGCTGGGTCGGGACCCTGGACTCCTCACTTTCCAACGTCCCCGGGCTCCCATCCACACGTTGGAGAGGAAAGGCCCACATTTTCTGGGTGGGCAGAGCAGCTGCCGTGACACGGTGACCAGTAGATTCACCACAGTCCTTCCGAGTGAGGTGTCAGGGCACAGTCCCTGCTGCAAGCTGCAGTGAAGGCACATGCCTGCGAGTTGCAGTGGACACCACATGAAACAGTGTGGGCAGGACGGCGCCTGATCCCAGCAGGTGGCCCATCAGCAACAGCATCTTTGAGGAAACAGGCAAGACACCCAGATTCAGCATAGGCGACGCCACACGGGAATTAATTCTACTTCGTTTTAGCCTCGTGGAATTATGCTTTCCACCTTATCACAGGCAGTCTTGACTGTTGGCCTTCTTATCTGAAGCAATCGTGCAGGCGGTTGATTCATCAAAATAAAAGCCAGTGAAAGCCGGGAAACATCACAAATAAGACATATATTCGAAACATTTTCTTTTGCCTTAAAATGTAAAAATGTGTATTTGGCAGCACTATTTTGATGGGGGATGTCTTTGGGATGAGCTTACTGACTGTAGCTCTGCGTTGATGTCCTTATAGAAACCCCCCAACGCGCATCTGCCACAGTGCACAGCTTGTTTCTTTAAGTGGAAGGGAAACGTAGCCGCCCAGAAGCGATCTGAGGACAGAGTCCTTCGTGTCTCGGGCAGCTTTTCCCAGTTATTTTGCAGTTGTCTTGCCCATTCCAAATTTGTCAGAAATTCTTTTTAGTGACTTGCTTTTATTCAGTGCTCCCAAAGCAGTCAACCTAATTTTCACGGAAACAATACCCTCTTGTTTTCATGCTCATATTCCATTGGTTCATGTTGTAGTTCAGTAAATTACACACGTAATAATAACAGGTATCACCGGCCAACACGGGTGGGGGACAGCCACCGTGGTCCCCCTGGGTAACCAGGTGACGCGCAGCTGGCCCCTCCATGCGGTGCTCTGGCCTCCGAGTCAGGCTCTTTGTTCATGGCCCCCCTCCTGCTTTCTCGAGCACCTCTTTCCTGTCGCACCAGAGCCATCCTTTTATTTCATTGTTGGCAGTGCCCACCGTGCAGGACTGGGAGCCGGGGAACGGCCACAGGGAGACTCTGCAAGATGGAGGTCGGCATTTCAGGCACAAGATATCAGAGCGGGTTTAGAGAAGCGTCAGCGGACATCCGTGTGTCTTTGTGGGCATCGGAAAACAGGCGGCCCACTGTAGGCCTGCTGTGGGACCCCAGGTCACCTGGCCTCTCCCAGCCTCCTGTCTGAAGGAGGCGGGGGTGTCCCAGCGGTGGTCAGGCCCGAGATGCCCAAAGGCTTGATTCCACATCCCTGAAGCAGCGTGCCCCCTCACTGCTGAGAGGGTTGCAAAGGTGGTCGGACAGGGAGGGTTTCTGAATTTAAGAAGAGGGCACGGAGACTGACTGAGATGAGACAGAGATGGAAGTGGGTGGAGGCACCCTAACAATCTCCATCGTTCTCTTAGCAGCTGCTAACACACATCAGCTCACGTGCAGCCTCGGGCTCTGGTCTCACCTGTGTGCCATTTGCGGCTTGCTCTCACTGTGATATTTCTGAGTCTGGCTGTATCAGTGTTGGTGGGGGGCTCTGACCACAGGGCCTTTGCTTTGCTATGGTGCCCAGTCAAAGACTTACTGTGGAGGCTGTGCCCTAATGCTGCTTCCCTCTCGTGTCCTTCCCTCCTGCTGCCCTGAAAGGTGTGTAACAACAGGAAGAACTGCCACTGCGAGGCCCACTGGGCGCCCCCGTTCTGTGACAAGTTTGGCTTTGGAGGAAGCACAGACAGCGGCCCCATCCGGCAAGCAGGTTAGTGGGGACCACGCATCCCGGGGAGGGGGCACGGAGCTGCTGGGGAGAGTGGGAAGCCAGGTGAGGGGCCTTCCAAACAAGACAGAGGCTTCTCCAGCTGTCAGTGTGGGTGCGGGTGCAGCCCCACAAGCAGGAAGCGCAGTGGGACCCCCATGGGGGCCTGGCACAGCCTGAGGCCCCTCAGTTTCCGACGGCCCCTCGTCCTCACCTGACCTCTGAGGAGGCTCCTCGCTCTGCTTTGACTGAGAGGCTGGGGTGGCCAGTGTTGAGCCTGTGACACTGGTCTTAGCGAAGTCATCTCCACAGCGGACTGCCACAGGGGTATGAGCTTCACGTCTGTTCCGAGGACTGTAAAAGCCAGCCTCTGTGCACCAGCCAAGAGGTGTGAAGTGCAATGCCTTTTAAAACTCTGTCTAGAGGGGCCGGCCCGGTGGTGTAGTGGTTAAGTGCACGCGCTCCGCTGTGGCGGCCCGGGGTCGGGTTGGGATCCCGGGCGCGCACCGACGCACCGCTTGTCAAGCCATGCTGTGGCGGTGTCCCATATAACGTGGAGGAAGATGGGCACGGGTGTTAGCCCAGGGCCAGTCTTCCTCAGCACAAAAAGAGGAGGATTGGCAGATGTTAGCTCAGGGCTGATCTTCCTCACCAAAAAAAAAACGCAAAACTCTCCTGGACAGACACCCTCCTCCTAATAAAGGTAACGGTCTCTGCAGCAGCAGGGTGAGCAGTTGTCACCTGTGGGCACCATGACAGGCATTTTTATGCAGTATCTCATCTTATCCTTACACAACTCTGAAGGAGGGGTTATTATTCTTTCTTTGCATAGAAAATGACCTGAGGCTCAGGGATGTTAAGTAACTTGCCCCAAGTCACACAGCTAAGATTGAGACGCAAGTCTGTCTGTCCCCAAAGAAGCTCCTAACAGCCACTGTGCTTGAACCCTCAGTTCTTTTCTCCTCGGGCAACCTGTAGCAGTGGTCTCCTAGAGCAGTGCTGTGTGCCCTGAGCTCTTGACAGGCAGATGAGGGGTAAGTCTGAATGATGTCCCTTTTAAAGTGCGAGAGGCAAGACAGAAAGGTGCAGAGAGCCAACACTGAGCACAGCTGGGAGGCGGGAGCAGACGAGAATTCACCAAGTGACACCAAGTGTCACTTGCATTGACACTTCGGTGCTCACCTGTGCCCCCGTGGCACTCAGACGTGGCCAATGCTGCTGCAGAGGACACCACGCGTCCCCAAGTCCTGCTGTGACTGGCAGTGTTGAATCTGTGGCTTTGCCATTGTTACCATGACAGCAGACACAACACTGCTCTGCAGGGCCAGGCGGTGAGCAGCATTGGGGAGGGAAGGACCCGCCCAGCAGGCCGATCTGTAGAAACAGTGTGGTGAGGAAGGGCAGTGAACCCCTGGTCATCCTTCTGCTCGATTATGGGCGTGTTTCAACATTGCTCCCCAGAGAACTCTGGCTTACCAATTTCTGGGGTTACCCAGGCCCTGCAGCAAGTAGAGAAAGGGCCAGAACGTGTTGCCGTTAGTGAGCATCCATTCCAGGGAAGGAAACAGGGCCTGGCCCAGCGTCCCCTTTCCTCACCGATATCTCAGGCTTGACGACTGGTCTCTTGCTGCAACTTAGTTAATTTTTAATGTGGCTTTAAGTATTTGTTTTACAAAAATAGCAAGAGTTTTAGTTTTTAATCCGCAGGGACCCCACCACCCATTCCATTTGCATTCCAGTAAGCTAGATGGTGTTGGAAGGAATTGGGGAACATGGCAGGAGAGGGGCAGCCACTCTGGATCTCTCTTTGGTGTGGACACGGATGACCGGTGGCACTCAGGTTTTGGGGTTTCAAAAAAGTTGGGAAATCCACAGTCCCCAACTTTTCACTATAGCAAGTAAGAGTATTTTAAAAAATGGAAACACCCGAAGAGCCTAACTCCATCCACCACTGCCATCATTTCATAAAAGAAAGTATGTTTAAAACACCTCGCCTGGGGCCGGCCCCGTGGCTTAGCCGTTAAGTGTGTGCGCTCCACTACTGGCAGCCCGGGTTCGGATCCCAGGCGCGCACCGACGCACCGCTTCTCCGGCCATGCTGAGGCCGCGTCCCACATGCAGCAACTAGAAGGATGAGCAACTATGACATACAACTATCTACTGGGGCTTTGGGGAAAAAAATAAATAAATAAATAACAATTTTAAAAAAAACACATACAAAAAGGCAGCTGTGAGCAGCCGGCCGACAGCGCGCCGGGCAGAGCCGTGCCCCGGGCTGCACTGTGCCCACGGCCCACTGCTCGCCGGCCTGACCATGGCTCGGTTGCTCATGAAGCAAGTACTTCTCAAGCATCCGCCACGCGCCGGCCGCTCTTCCGGGTCCCGGGGAGACAGTAAGCAAGCACGGCGGGGCATGACGAGCACTATGAGAGGAAAGGTGACAGTGGGACTCAGCGCGGGGGACTGACGGGAGGGGCGGTGGGGGGCAGGCGCCACAGGACACAGAGCTTACACTGGACCTGGGGACAAGGGGATGCAGTGACAACACTGCCCAGGTTTCTGGCTTGAGCAGCTCGATGGATGTCACCGCTATTTATGGAGACAGATGACCTGGGGTGCAAGAAGTCCAGTTTGGGGGCCCAGTAAATATTTGATTAGATAAATTGATCAGTTTAAGACTTAGGGATTAATTTTAAGGAACTAGAAATTATGGGCTCAGGACTTGTGCTGCTCACTTTTTAATTAGCTGTGTTAAGAGACAACAGAACACCAGCCAGAGCCCCCCGGGATGGCCGGCTCACAGCCTGAAAGAACGACGTTTTGGCCAGGAAACCAGAAGCAGTGCTTCTCCAGTAACACTAACAAGTGAATCAAGACTGTCATATGTTGATTGTCTTACTTAAGCTAAGACACGTCCCTGATAGGGCTTGTCAGCCGGGGACGAAGTCCAGAAACGAGCGCGTGTGAAGGCATTCTTCCCAGAGCGGAGTCGCTGCCGCTCTGGTGCGTGGCCAGCGGCACTGCCGGGTCGGAGGCGGGGCTGGGGAGCCTGGGGAATGGAAGCCACCGCCACGGCCATCACCAGCAGCCTGAGAGGACCGCTGTGCACCTACTGTGTGAGGCGCACCCTGGTCGTTCCTAGCGGGAAAACAGACACACGAATGGAGGTCCGTGCTCTCAGGAGCTCATAGTCCAGTTGAAATGGCAAAGAAAGCCCTCTGCATCCTGGCATTTAGAGTCCTCCCAGACAGCCTTGACCACGGCTGCAGCAGAAGCCACCCTGACGGTTTGAGCTTCCTTTCCTTCCACACCTTTGAGGAGTCTCAGTGTCTTTGTACTAAACAAAATGGGATCAAATCACAGAAAAGGGGATGTTTCCTTAGAGAACATACACAGCATCCTCCCAGAGAAAGAGGTTTGCCCCCCATGGCTGTATTTTAAGTCCCTAACATAAGAAAACAAAACCCATGGGCATTTCATTTATGAGTTTTCTTTTTCTTTTTTCCACCTTCTAATGTGGCAGTGTCCAGAAATGAAGTCTCTGTCTAAAAAAATAAAAATAAAACAGACTCCACACAAAGAGTGAGAGAAGGAAGGAGCCTGGAGTAAAATATTTGTGACGAGGGCTGGAATGATTTTCACTTGGGGACCACCTTCAGTCTGACGGGGTTTTAATGGTGGCTCCCTATTACTTTCTGTGGCCACATTCCCCTGCTGTTGTCACACCTGGGGTGGAGGGGAGGAGTGGGGGCTGTGTGGCCAGGGCCGTGGTCCCACCTCCCAGACTCTATCCTGTTCAGCAAGTTCCAGAGTTGTCAGAAAGAATGATGGCCACATATATTGAACCTCAGACACGACATTTGACACGAGGCTCATTGGTCAGTACATCATTCAGGGATTTACCCACTTCATTTCTGTTCCTTCCTTCAAAGCTCGCTTTGCCATAAATGTCACAATTTGATACTTCCCGTATGTCATTGTAACTGCCTTCCTCCCTGAGTCCAGTGCATTTTGTTTCAGATAACCAAGGTTTAACTATAGGAATTCTGGTGACCATCCTGTGCCTTCTTGCTGCTGGATTTGTGGTTTATCTCAAAAGGAAGACATTGATCCGACTGCTGTTTACAGATAAAAAAACCACCATTGAAAAGCTGAGGTACCCTGGGTTTGGGTCATTTTTTCAAGAAATGGTGGTTGAAAGAATGTACAATCAACCGCTTCTCACTTCATTTTCCTTAGCAGAGAGTAGGTCAGATTTTCTGGATAGTAACACTGGTTTTTTGGGTTTTTAAGATTTCTGCCAGACCAGCTGCCTCCTTTACTTTCCCTTCAAACTATTTACTGCTTGTTACCTAAATAAGCAGGGTGTTGATGAATCCCGCAGATGTAATTTTTCCCCTCCTTACTTTAGTGATTTTTGCAATACATGGAACGTTAAAATATTTTCATCAGATGGGGTAGCTTTTGATTCAAATGTATCCAAAGACATTATTGCTGAATTGCCAGCTTTATACAAAAACATGTCACAAAGCTGCATTTCTATGGATTGCAAGAGCTGATTTAACAGAATAGTGGCTTTGGGGGAAAAAAATCAACATTTATTTTTTAATCTTGTAAGAGTCTGAGATGGTTTTTCCTTTGCATGCTTACCACACTGAGTTAAAATAAGTAAATTATTTTTTTGGGTGTCATTGTGAACAAAATAGAAACAGTTAAGTCAACCAGAGGGGACGATGCCCTTGGATCTCACGTGTGGAATTGCACTGCAGGTGTGTGCGCCCTTCGCGGCCACCCAGTGGCTCCCAGCCTGGTCAGGCTCACCTCACCCACCTCAGCAAAGGCCCGATAAGGAAGCCGCCACATTCCAACACCCTTAAGGTACGTTTTAAACATAAGTGGTTAGCGTGCGCATGAAGACACGGGTTTTTCAATACGAGCTTGAATAAGAATAGATCCTGGACGCTGAGTTAACACACTCAGTTCAACGAAGGCTTACTGAGGTGATGGTCAGGGGCTGGAAGGAGGCTCTCCGTGCCCCATGGAAGCTCTGCTAGATTCTCTTAGGAGAGTCTTTGCGTGACGTGGTGTGTCGTACGTCGTGAGTCACGATCTCTCCAGTCACTAGACCTGCCAAATTCCCAAGAGGCCCACTGGGTCTGCCACTCAAGCAGGTTCCTGACCCTGGGTCCCTCCTGTGGTTTAAGAATGCCACCAACTGGGTTTGGGCAAGCTTCTTTGGCCCACTGTTACTTCCAGGGTCATTCTAAGAGTTACACTGAGCCCTTGGGCCCACTTTTGCTCCACCCCTGGGGTGTAGAAGCTCTGCCCATCCTGTGGTTTCAAAGAGCTGGATCCTTAACCCAGACAACCTCCTGGCTGCCAACTGTCTCTTAACTTTCCTGCTACGTTGGTGGCTTATTACTAGAGTTCACTCCAATATTTAGTTTTTCCACCAAGCGTTTTCGATGTATCCACAAGAATTCTTGAATATTGAACTCATTCAACAGGAATCCAAATTATGGCAGTGAAAAGTGTTGGCGTCTAGAAATGACCAATGATTTTTAAAATCATTATCACTATTCAGTAGGCAACGAACTATTTTATCTCCCTTGATCTAAAAAGTATAGAGGGTTGGGTTCCAAAGAGGAGGCTGCCATTCCTGAAAATTTCACTACCTTTCATCCCCAAACATGGGACTATAGCAAGAACAGCTTCATTTGTGAAAATAAAAACGCAGCTGTATCTTGAAGAATCAAAAATGGGAAATGACCCAAATATCCATCAACAGGTAAAAGGATAAACAAACTTTGTTATATTTACACAATGAATGCTACTCAGCAATAAGATGGAATGAACTATTGATATACACAACATCATGGATGAATCTCAAAATAATTATGGCAAGTAAAAGAAGCCAGACAAAAGAGTACATACTCCATGATTCATTTGTATAAAATTCTAGAAAATGCAAACTAATTTATAGTGACAGCAGATCAGAAGTTGCAGCGAAAGGGAGAGGGGGAAGGGCCAGGGGGAACGCTGACAAGGAATCTCTTGGGGGTGACGGATGTGTTCATTATCTTATTGTGATGGTTTCGTGGGTTTGGACATACATCAAATTTTCCCAAATTGTATGCTAAATGTGTGCAATTAATTGTATGTCAATTATACCTCAATAAAGCTGTTTTTAGAAAGAGAGAAAGGAAGAAAGGAAGAAGGGGCAGGAGAGTGAGGCACAAGGCCCACGCTACATGGGTTCTAATCTGTCACTAAAAACAAGGGCACCACACAGGAGAAGATCCTCCAGATGCAGGCCCCTAACCTCAGCCCTGGCTTCCAGAAGCTTCGACTCTCCTTCCCTAGAAGTTTTTCTTGGTTCTCATGGAGCCTCGTGTGTATTAAGCGATGTCTCGTTTTCACAACTCCTTCCTAATTTCGTTAAGATATGGTCTGTGTCTTCATACTTGTTGGCACTTCCTCAGGTGCCTTGAATCTATTTGTTAATGAATTAAGCCACTTTTTTAAAAATTCAAATAGAAATCAATCCGTCTATTCCAGATTGAGAGGGAGGGGTGCTTCTGTTAAATTTTGCAGTTTAAATAAATAATAATAGATTCCCTCTCATGTAACTCCTTGATTTCTTTCCCTGACTCCACCCCACTTCCCCCTTCAGTTATAGCAGACTACTTAGCACTGCTTTTTCCTTAAGGAATTACAGATAATTTTGAGACCTATCATATCATGGCTTTTTGCTTCGAAACCCTGCAGGACAATCCCAGGAGATTGCTGCAGTGTCAGAACGTTGACATCAGCAGACCCCTCAAAGCCCTGGACGTCCCTCAGCCCAATTCGTCTCATCGAGTGCTCCCAGCTCTCCACCAGGCTCCTCCTCGTGTGCCCACCGTCCCCGCCAGACCCCTGCCGGCCAACCCTGCACTCAGGCAGGCCCAGGTAGGCCTCAGCTGCTGATTGGGTGGATGTGGTTCCAGTATAGACTCTGCTACTTGCTAATGTCTGAACTTGGACAAGTTGCTTAACTTCTCGTTGCTTCTATAAAATGGAGATAATTCAGCTCCTCGGATGGTTAAATGAGATAATCCATGTGAAGCATTTAGTACAGTGCTTGGTGTATAGTAAGGGTGCAGTGCATTTTACATGCTATAAATAACATTTTTATATTCAGAATAGTGAGGGCGGCTATGCAACCTATCATCTAAACCAGGACACTTTTGAGAATGGCAGGAACACTATTAATCAGTAGGCCTGGACAATAAAACAGAGACGGTCACTTTAGGAATAATAATGGGCATTCTTTCTTACCATTTTTCATTTTCTAAATTATTTACAAAAATTTTACCACCCATTGAGTTTCTCCACACCAGACCCGGCACTGTATCCCACACTTTGTGTCTATCGTCTCATTTTTATGCTGTTTTTGGAGGTAACAGTTTCTGTTGGTTATGACCAAGAATGTGACATCATTTCACGATAGGAAACTTATGGGGTTTGGGGGATAAAAATAATCAAATGAAAAGCACAGAGACAATCACTGGTAATTTTTTCACTGCTATCATTGTTATTTTTTCTCCTAGTAATTTTTATATATTTATATTATTTTGAATATAATTATTCTCTATGTACATTGCTTTATATACTGTTTTTTGCCTTAAAGTCATTCCCATTTACTGTGGCGTTAGAAATCTTAAAAATATTATTTTAACAGTAGCACTGTATGTGAATATAAAATAATTTTTTAAGTACTTGCCAATTAGTGGTCATGTTTGTATGTCTCTAATTTTTGCTATTATGAATAGCTCTGTTATGGAGGCCTAGACTGATAAATTTTGGACCACTTTAATTATTCCCTTAGGAGAGATTCCTAAAAGTTAAAATATTGGGTTGAAAAATGGTATAACCATTTTAGGCCTCCTAATATATAAATTAAAAATTTTTTCAGAACTGTTATATACATTTATGCACTCACATTATTATAAAGCATCTGTCTCACCATGACTTTGTTAGTACTAAGTTATCCAGCCCCAAACGTCAATGATTAACATTTCCAAGCTTTGCCAATTTGATCCATGAAACAAAATAGCTCATATATTTTTCCATCTAATGGTTCTACCAATTACTGAAAGGGGATGTTGAAGTTTCCAACTATAAGTGTGTCTCCTTTTAGTCCATCAGTTTTTGCTTCATGTATTTTGAAGCTCTATTGTTGGTGATACACACAATTAGGATTACTGTGTCTTCTTGGTGAATTGACCTTTTTATCGTTATGTAATGTCCATCTTTAGCTCTGGTAATTATTTTTGTTCTAAAATCTACTTTGTCTCGTATTAATACATCTACTTCAGTTTTCTTTTGATTAGTGTTTGAAAGGTTTGGCTTTTTCCTTCTTTTTTACTTTTAACCTATCTATGTCATTTTATTTGAAATGCGTTTCTCAGAGATAGCATATAGTTGGGCTGTATATTTTTTTCATCCATTCTGTCAGTCACTGTCTTTTAATAGATTTGTTTGGACCACTTACATTTAATGCGATTATTGATATGTTAGAATTTAAGTCTGCCATTTTAATACTGTGTTTGTTCCCTCTGACTTTTGTTACATCGTGCTTTTCTTTCCTGAATTCCTATGGGTTTTGTTTGTTAGTGCCGTTGAGTCAATTTCAGCAATTTTTCGCGCCATCCTCTCACCTTCCAGCACTATATCAGACAATGCTCCACTCTATTCATAGAGTTTTCCTGGCCAGTTTTTTCAGAAGTGGGTAGCCAGGCCCTTCTTCCTAGTCTGTCTTAGTCTGGAACCTGTCCACATGGGTGACCCTGCTGGTGTTTGAAATACCAGTGGCATAGCTTTCAGCATCACAGCAACACGCAGCCACCATAGTATGACAACTGACAGATGGGTGGTGTGGTTCCCTGACTGGGAAACAAACCTAGGCCACAGCAGTGACAGTGCTGAATCTTAACCACTAGACCACCAGGGCTGGCTTTTCTATGGGTTGTTGAACATTCTCTAGTATTCCTTGTTGATTTATCTGTCATGTTTTTGAGTGTATGACTCTGTTTAGTTTTTTATTTGGTTACTCTGGGACAAGGTTTCTCAATCTCAGCGTTATTGACATTGGGGCTGGATAACTCTTTCTTGTTTGAGACTGTCCTGTGTATCGTAAGACGTTTAGCAGCGTCTTTATTTCTACCAACTAGATGGCAGTAGCATGTGTAATCATGTCCCCAAACATTGCCAGATGTCCCTGGAGGACAAAAGTCCCCTGATTGAAAACTGCTGCTCTAAAGATTACAATATATGTACATAATTTATCACAGTCCACTAGTATCAATATTGTATCACTTCAAGTGGAATATGAAAATTTTACCAGCTTTTAGTTCCCTTTATCCTTCTCCTTTTATGATATAGATGTCTTAAATGTTACCTTGATGTACATTGAGAACCACTTCAGATGTTGTAATTTTTGCTTTCAACCATCAAGCATGATTTTTAAAACTTAGGAAGAATAGTCTACTCCATCCACTCATATATTCACCCTTTCCATTATTTCTTTTCTGTCCGAAAAACTTCTTTTAACTATTCTATTAAAGCAGGTCTGCTGGTGACAAGTTCTCTTAGCTTTCCTTCATCTGAAAATGTCTATTTTACCTTTATTCCTGAAGGATATTTTCACTGGATATAGAATTCTGGCTTGACTGTTTTCTTCTTTCGACCTCTGAAAAATGTTCCACTTCCTCCTGGCCTCCATAGTGATAAGAAATCCACTGGAAGTCCTGCCCACAGCCTGTTCCAGGGAAGAGATGTGGCCTGTTATTGCAAGGAAGGATGGAAAGCAGGGCTCTGCCACCTCCAGGCAGTGGTGCCCAGTGAGCAGGGCCAGGGGCTTGGCTTTTTTCTGATGTCACCTGAGCTGGAGTAAGGTCAGGTAGGGTCAAATGTTTCTCTCTGACTGGTTACCATTGTCCCCATCTTTTGGCTAGAGTTAGCAGGTCATTTTGGGGCCTTTTTTTGTCTGGTGCCATTGGCATTTCCAGATTGGGGGCCTCTCCAGAGGCCAGACCAAGATATAGAAAAGGCAAAAACAAAAAACAAGAACTACTGGGTAATTCCTTGAGTTCTGAGGTCCCTAGCCAGTCTACTTACGTTTTCTTCAACTTTCAGAGGCTCTTGTCAGTTGCTTTATAAATTTTCTCCAGACGTTTTTATTGTAATTTGCAGGAGGAATATGGTGAAATATGCTTATTCCATCTTGTCCAGACCTCATTTCTTTTTGTGTTTCTTTGATTACTGGTACGCTTGAACTGCTTTTTGTATATCTATTAACTAATGGTGTGCTGGTAAATTGGCTGTCAAAAAAAAGCCTTGATTTGTAGATGATTTCTCTGCTGTAAAATCTCCCACCATGGCCAATGGCAAGCTGTTAACGTGATGTCACTGAACGAGGAGCAGAGAATTGGTGAGGTGAGCCAGTACCAGCCAGCTCCAGCCTACAGCTGCGGTGAACTGTATCTGTTCTGTGAATTGTCTGTTCCTATTTGCCTATTTTTCTCTATTTGAGAGATGGAGTTTTTCTTCCTGGTTTGTAAGAGTTTATTTTAATAGATTAAGAATATTTACCCTTTGCTAGTAATGTAAACATTTTCCCTAATTGGTCTTTTAATTTTATTTATGATATTTTTTGGTATAAAAGGAATTCCAGTTTTGAACATTAAATTTATTTATCTTTTCTTTTGTGAATTCTCCCATTCCTTTTGTGCTTACCGAGTCCTCTCCCATTTCAGTATCAGTTAAGATCCACCTATAATTCCTTCTGTTTATTTGGTTGGCTGTTGACAGGTCCATCTTTTACATATGTTTTCTAACCTGTCTTGGATTTACATTGGTGGAAAGTGGTGGGCACGTCCTCAACTTTTCTTGGCTATGAACTTATTTGAGAATCTGATGAAAGCTATGAACAATGCACCAATACTCAATATTTTGCCTGCAAATTTCAGACATCCACAAATCCTATAAGCCCCTTCCCCATGGATTCCCTTGCACTGAGGCTTTTTATGTCTCCCTCTAAGCCACTCGCCTGTGCACCCTGTCAAACTGGATGGTCTCTCACAGACCATGTGATGTGAGGAAAGCGATTTCTACTTGCTGGTGTCTTTTTTCCTACCAGCAGTGAATGCCTACAGAAGTGACTCCTTCAAGATTTCCTTTAAAGCAGGCCCCAAAAAGGCCTTCATTCTGTTTTATGAAACTAAGGAAATGTTACCCTTTAAACATTAGTAACTGAAAAATCCCCATTTCTCATTCCAGGCTGGTGTCTGTCTGGAGCTTTTCCGAGACATATGATATGGATTAAGCTCGCGCGCTCTCCTATCACACACAGGGAACTGGAATTAATTCCATGCAGGTGTAGTGAATGTGGGGAGGTGGCTCTTGTTTGGCAGCACAGATTGAATCCACTGACATTTTGTACTTGAGAGCTCCGCTGCCCTGCCCCACACAACGTGACAAACACACAATCTTACCATCTCAACATCCCAGAAGGAAAATGCTATCATAAACACTACGGTATTGATCAACCTCACATCCAAAAGCTAAGTTAGTGCTTTACAGAAAACATTGGATCTTTCCGTGAAACTGTTTGATTTTTAAAAATCTAGGACCATTGAATCAACTCCTTCTCTTGTCCACAGTGTACTTTCCAGTGTACCATTTCCTTCACGGCAAAATCACCCTCGAAATTCAAGCTTCTCAGCCTAACCCCTCAGCCTTGATCAAGGAAACAAACTTTAATTCCTTTTCATCCCGTCACTATTTTAGAGGAAAATAATTCAGTGTATGCATCTAGCTGTTAGCTGACTGCTGCCAAGCTCTCCTGAGCAACAACCTGAGCATGAAAGGCAAAGCGTGGGCTGGAGAAAAGGATGGTAAAATGATGA